TCTGTACGAACAAACATTTTCATTTTTCTTAGGTCAATACTGAGAAATGAAGTAAATGGGTTGTATGATTTAACTTTTAAAGAAAAACTAGCAAACTGTTTCCAAAATAATTGTCCCTTTCCCTGGCTGCGTTTAAGAATCTCTCTTTATATCTCTCTTGATAAAGAGATAGTTTTCAGCAACTTGACTATTTTTTTTCTTTTTTACAGCTTTACTGATATATAATTTTACCCTTTTTTAAAACAAAAATTACTTATTTATTTAGTTGTGGCATGCGGGATCTTCAGTTGTGGCATGTGGGATCTAGTTCCCTGACTAGGGATCAAACCTGGGCCCCCTGCATTGGGAGCATGAAGTTTTAGCCACTGGACCAAAAGGGAAGTCCCAATTGGAATATAATTTTCATATAATAAGCTCCATATATTGATAGTTAAAGTGTATGACTTGATGACTATATATATGACCATGCCCACAATCATGATTATAAACACATCTATTACCAACCCCCCCCCCCAATTTCCTCACACTCCTTTGTAATTCTTCCCTTCCACCCCTTCCTTCATTCTCCAGGCAAGCACTGATGTGTATTTTGTCACTACAGATTAGTCTGTAATTTCTAGAATTATGTAACAGATTCACACAGCATGTAACAAAGCTTTTTGTCTGACTCTCTCACTTAGCACCACTCTTTTAAGATTCTTCCATACTGCTGATCTTTTCTATGGTTTATTCTTTTTATTGCTAAGCAGTATACTATTGTATGGATATACCACAATCTGTTTACGCATTCAACTGCTGACGGACATTTAGGTTGTCTCTACTTTTGGCTATTACAAATAAAACTACTATGAACATTCAGGTACAAGGGCCTTATTGAACCTATGCTTTCTTTTTTTCTTTAGGGAAAATCCTAGGAATGAAATGGTTGAATGTATCATAGATGCATGCTTAACATTTTAAAACACTGATAAACTGTACCATTTCAGATTCCTATCAGCAGTGACTGAGAGTTCCAATTGCTCCACATCCTAAATAACATATATTTAGTCTCTATAGACATTCTAGTCGGTGTGTAGCAGTAACTCATTGTGGCTGTAACTTACATTTCCTTCATGACTAATGATGTTGAATATCTTCTCATTTGCTTATTTGCCATTCACATATCTTCCTTCTTTTGTAAAGTGACTCTTCATATCTTTTACCCATTTTTAAAATACTTATTTTATTTACTTATTTGGCTGTGCCAGGTCTTAGATGTGACATGGGGGATCCAGTTTCCTGACTAGGGATTGAACCTGGGGGTTTGCATTGAGAGTGCAGAGTCTTAGCCACTGGAACACCAGGGAAGACCCTACCCAATTTTTAAAAATTGCATTGTTTATCTTTTTATTAGGTTTTAAGAGCTCTTTAAATATTCTCAATGAAGTCCTTTGATGGATACATATTTTGCCCATTTTTTCTCTTAGTCTGTGGCTTGCCTTTTCATTTTTGTCACAGCATCTTTTGAAAAACAAATGTTATTAATTTAGATGAAGCTCAATTTATTGATTTTTGCTTTACAGTCTGTGCTTTCTGTGTCCCATTTTCTCTTATTCATACATTCATTCATCTTTGGCCGTGCTGGGTCTCCGTTGCTGTGTATGGGCTTTCTCTAACTGCGATGAGCACGGGCTGCTTTTTGCTGGGGTTCTCGGGCTTCTCACTGTGGAGGCTTCTCTTGCTCCGGAGCACAGGCCCTAGGTGCACGGGCTTCAGTACTTGCAGCACGAAGGCTTAGGAGTTGTGGGGCATGCCTTGGTTTCCCAGTGGCTTGTGGGCTCTTCCCAGACCAGGGATTGAACTCGTGTCCCTTGCATTGGTACATGGACTCTTAACCACTGGACAACCAGGGAAGCCCCTGTGTCCCATTTTAAAACTCTCTGCTAAAACAGAGGTCACTAAAAGTCTTCTGTGTCTTCTTTTAGAAGTTTTAGACTTTTAACCCATACAGTTAGACCTGTGATCCACTGAGAGCTACTTATTGTATATGGTGTGAGGAAACGACAGATGTTCATTTTTGTGCATATGGATATCCAATTGTTCAGCATCATTTGCTGAAAAAATTCTTCTTCCTCTACTGAACTACTTTGGAATCTTTGTCAAAACTCAACTGACTATATATGTGTGCGTCTGTTTCTGAACTCTTCACTCTATTTGATCTATTATGCTTAGCTTCACACCAATACAAACACTCTACTGGTTACTGTAGCTTTATAATAAACCTTAAAGTCCAGTAGTCTTAGTCTCCCAACTATGTTTTACCTTTTTAAGGTTGTTTTGGCTATTCTAGGTCCTTTGCATTTACATTTAAATTTTAGATACAATTTATCAACTCTACAAAGGCTACTGGGATTTTTAATGGGATGTCTTTGAAACTACAGATCCATTAAAGCAAATCTGACATCTTAAGAATACTGACGGTGGTGGCTGCATAACAATGTGAATGTACTTAATAGATCACTGAACTGTACATTTTCTTTTTTTATTCTACTTGAACTGTACATTTTGAGATGGTAAAAATGATCAATTTTATGTTATATATATTTTACAATTTAAAATTTTAATAAAAAAAACACCTATTCTAAAATTTAGAATGTATGATAGTACACAGAGCTTCCCTAGTGGCTCAGATGGTAAAGAGTCTGCCTGCAATGCAGGAAACCCAGGTTCAATCTCTGGGTCAGGAAGATCCCCTGGCGAAGGAAATGGCAACCCACTCCAGTATTCTTTCTTACCTGGAGAATTCCATGGACAGAGGAGCCTGGCAGGCTACAGTCCATGGGGTCACTAAGAGTTGGACATGACTGACTAACACTGGGAATACAGAATGATTCGTAAGCTGGGCAGTAAATCCCACCAGTCCACTCCTCTCTTCCTCTGCCATCCCTTCCTAGACCTGTGCTAAGGCACGCTGTAGCTAAAGGGACATGACCAGAGAACTATGTTTTCCATTTGTCTTTCCTCCGGCTTCTTTATCTTTTTTTAAAAAATAAACTTCATTAAGATATAAAGGGCTTTATATACTACTAAGTGCTTCCCAGGTGGCACCAGTGGTAAGGAACTCACCTGCTAATGCAGGAGACAGAAGAGATGTGGGTTTGATCCCTGGGTTGGGAAGATCCCCTGGTGGAAGAAATGGCAACCCACCCTAGTATTCTTGCCTGGAGAATCCCATGGACAAAGAAACCGGGCAAGCTACAGTCCACAGGATCACAGTGTCAGACACAACTGAACAGACTTAGCACACACATATACTATAAGATGCAACCACTTTATCGGAAAGTTTAACTTTTGATAAATGCATATACCCACATATCTACCACCACAATCTAGATATAAACACTTCATCACCCCTAGAGAGTTTCCTCAGGCCTCACTGATGTTAATCTCTCCATAAGCCCTCAGGCAACCACAGATCTACTTTCTGTCCCTAAAGACCTGTGTTTTTTTCTCTATAATTTTACATACCTGGAAATAGTTTGTACTATTTTGTGTCAGGCTTCTTCCATCTAACATTAAGTGTTTTTGATAGTCATCAAAACTACACGTGTCAGATTTCTCTGGTGGTACAGTGAAATAAGAAGAAGATAAGATAAAAAGTAAGAATCTGCCTGCCAGTACAGGGCACATGCGTTTGACCCCTGGTCCGGGAGGATTCCACATTCCTCGGGGCTGCTGAGCCTGTGTGCCACAACTCCTGAGCCCACAGACCTACAGCCTATGCTCCTCTGCAAGAGACGCCACCACAGTGAGAGGCCCATGCACAGCAGTGAAGAGCAGCCCTGCTCCCCATAACTAAAGGAAGTCCCCACACAGCAATGAAGACCTAGAGTGGGCAAAAATAAATTAAGTTTTTAAAAACTATGTGTGTCAAGAGTCTGTTCTTTTTATTGCTGAATAACATTCTACTGTATGGATATACTGTAACTTGCTTATCTCTTGATAGTTATTTCTACTATGAATATAGCTGCTTTAAATATTTGCATATGAGTCTATATACACATGTTTTCATTTATCTTGAATATCTAAGAATAGTACAGTTATATGATAAGTGTATCTATACTTTTATAAAACCCAGAGTTTCTTTTATAGTCAAACTCATATCCAGTCAGTCATGGCTTTGGGCCTATGCACAGTCTAGTCCAGTGGGCAGCCTAGGACACTGAGGGCTGGGTACCTAATTCCAGCTGGGGATCTGGTCTGTGCATACTGGGGGACTATGGCTTTCAGAGTCTCAGGTAACAGGCATCAGCTCAGTTCAGTCGCTCAGTCATGTCCGACTCTTTGTGACCCCATGGACTGCAGCACACCAGGCCTCCCTGTCCATCACCAACACCTGGAGCCTCCTCAAACTCATGTCCCTCGAGTCAGTGATGCCATCCAACCCATCCCATCTTCTGTCGTCCCCTTCTCCTCCCGCCTTCAATCCTTCCCAGCATCAGGGTCTTGTCCAATGAGTCAGTTCTTAACATCAGGTGGCCAAAGTACTGGAGTTTCAGTTTCAGCATCAGTCCTTCCAATGAATATTCAGGACTGATTTCCTTTAGGACGGACTGGTTGGATCTCCTTGCAGTTCAAGCGACTCTCAAGAGTCTTCTCCAGCACCACAGTTCAAAAGCATCAGTTCTTAGGCACTCAGCTTTCTTTATAGTTCAACTCTCCTATCCATACATGACTACTGGAAAAACCATAGCCTTGACTAGAAGGACTTTTGTTGGCAAAGTAGTGTCTCTGCTTTTTAATATGGTGCCATATGTATACTGGTATAATATGCAGGCATGCCACATAGCAAAAAGAGGGTGGTTCTTACTGCTCCACATCAAACTAAACAAAGAGTCATAGTAAAAATAAAAAATACCAGCAAACGACTTTTATACCAAAACAAAACATAAAAGAGGATGCAACAACTTTTAGATTTCAGCTAAAATCCAAAACATCACAATTAGCAAATAATTTCTTACCTCTGTGCATAATCTTGTGCTTCTCCCTCAGATATGTCAGGCCTTTTATTACCTAGGTGAGAGGAAATGTAAAAAGATGGAAACTGAAATCCTGGTGTTTAGAAAATACTCAACCTTTCTATTTTAAAATTATCTAGAAAATACTTCATCTATCACCACAAATTTGCCTTCTTCCCTTATTTTTCTTCTTTCTTTTGTTTGACTTTTTCCATCTGTCTTATTAAGAAACCATCTTTTTACATAGTATATAGCAAATGATTTTTAAGCAAAATTGGTAATTGCAAGTTTAGATAATTTACATTTAAAAGAACACTTTGCCTGAATTCATTTCTTAATCTTCAATCTAAAAAGAGGTTTTCTGATGCCAAGAATGAAAATTCCTTTGGATACCCCGTCCTATTTTTCAAGATAGATTTTAACATACAGAAAGTTACTTTGCTAGTTTTAGTGAAGGGGAGACGGTATTGTATCTAGAATCCAGATAAGAGAAAATTCTAGTGAAAAACCTAACTTTTCTTAGAAAACTTCCCTCTGTCAACTTCCCACCTTCCTCCTTGTCCCTTTCCTATTTATCAATGAGAGAACTTGGAAGAAAAGCTTCTCTATATACTCACAGCAATGCTAACTTTTCCTAAAATTTGTTCAGGAATTCTTCCAGCTTTCTTCAGAACTTGATCCAAGGAACCCCCATCCTAAGAACAAGAATACCAGAGCCCATTTAGTGACAGTGTTTCTAACTATCCTTTCAAGTGTTAAACTTCAGCAGCAAAATAAATCTCACACATGACAAATCTTTCCAGAAGGTACCCTTTGGTGTGCCCCAGATATCAAATAAGATGTGAATATAACATTGTGAGAGCTAGCAAATGATTAATAACTCAAATCTTATGAATAACCATCCCATAAATTACTAATTTAATGGTCAGAAATTACTAATTCAGTGGTTCACTCTACTGAAATGACAGAACAGAGCAGTGGCTAGGAGTGCTCTAAACACAAACTATTCAAATTTGCATTCCCAACTCTGACACTTACTATCTAGTGGACACTGACCAAGTTACTCAACTTGTATAATGGGAATGATAATAATTATACAAGGCCACTATAATACTCATAGAACTATTGTAAGTATTAAACAAGCTCATACATCCAAAGCCCTTGGAACAATATTTGGCCCATGGTAAGTTCTCAATAAATGTTTGCATTCTGTCATCATTATGTAAGTCACAACTTGCATTTGGTATCATCCTAACAAATTATACTTCACAAAATCCAAAGAAAAATATCATAGAAAGTAATTATTCATTCCACAAATCCTACAAAGCACCATGCACTGTTTGAGGTTCTGTGGAGGAAAAAGATACAAAAAAGACCTAGCTCTTGTCCTCAATAAATTTATAAACTAGTAGGAGATATATACCACTCCACAAAACACAATGAAACAGAATAAATGTATATAGTAAAAGTGCTGCACACACCCAGAGAAGAAGGGAGAATTCTGACTTCACTCAGAAGATAGCATTTGAGCTGAAATCTTACTCAAAGAATGACTATGATTTCCATACCTGTAAAAGGAGAGGAGCAAGAGGAGAAAAGAATAGGGTAGAAGAGTGGAATCCTAACCACTGGATCACAAGGGAACTCCCAAGAACAGGTTATTTCAACAAGATCATAAGCAGAGAAACATTAAATTGCTTAGTACTCCTGGGATGCAGCCAATTATCAGTCACAATATAAAATCACCCCAGAAGTAGAGATGATTCCTACAAACTCAAGACTGATTTTCTAAACTATCCTGTCTACCCTGGGCAGCTACCATCATCAACTATCATCTATTAATCATCTCTGCGTAAGGCATAGAGATGTGAGGAACTACAAATGAAAAAACTATAAGGACAGGAAATAATACCCTTTGGTTGGGAAGACAAAACACATTTATAAAGTGGCAAGGCACCTTAAACCCTCCTCTAAAACAGGGCAGGGAACAAACAGTTAAATGAAGAGAAAAGACATTACTACAGGTATTCAGAGGAGGAAGCAATCCCTGGACAAAGCGGCCAACAGAAGGGTTCACAGCAAGAGTGACACGGAACCCGAGCCTTTGAGGAGGGTGAGATCTGGGTAGGATAAGTAGAGAGACATTCCCACAGAGATCCTGCTTCCAATACCACCCAGCCTCTACGATGCAGCCACGAAACAGAAGTTTGGAGAGCAATGCATGATGTAATAAACAAAGGAAGGACACAGCATAATCTCATTTTTATAAAACTAAAGTGTGCATATACTCACACAAAACCAGAATATCAAAAATGTTACCAAAATGTTCCAGTCTATACAGTAAGATTATCAGGGATTTCTGTTGTGCGATAGTTTCTTCTCTGTGCTTTTCTATGACTTACACATTTTCTACAATAAATAAATGTTTTACCTTTTAAAAGTAAAAAAAAAAAAACTGACCTCATTTATGAAAGTGGAGAATTAAACCTATAAATCAATTAACAGATACTTACTGAGCATCCAGTTTGTGCAAAATCTGTTAGGAAGCTACAACACTGCTTTCTTTCTAAAGGAAGTGAGAAAATAAGTAAGACTCGTTCAGGGATACAGAGCTCTTGAAAAATGTTACCTAGGGACTTCCCTGGTGGTCTAGTGGTTAAGAATCTGCCTGCTAATGCAGGGGACATGGGTTTGATCCCTGGTCAGGGCACATGCTACAGGGCAACTAAGCCTGAATACAACGACTAAAGCCCACATGCCCTACAGCCTATGTTCTGCAATAAGAGAAGCCACTGCAAAGAGAAACCCACACACCATAACTAGAATGAGCCCATGCTTAGCAATGAAGACCCAGTGCAGCCAAAACTAAAAAGTAAGTAAATAAAAATCATTTTTAAAAGTCACCTAAAATAACGCTAAACACAGATTATCAACTTAAAATTCTATGCTTATAGAAAGGACAGTTTGGACCAATGACTTTCTATCATAGATCAACTATGGATCATGGATGTTAGTGAAAAAAGAAGATAGCACAGGTGTGCAGGTGTGTACTCATATGCATACTAACAGCCCTGAATACATCAGACTTCTCATCATAGCAAACTCCCAAGCACAACTACCTAACGATGGGCCAGACAACTGAGGAGCACAGGGGAGGATTTCAAAATTCAACCTAAAATTCAAATGTGCTATGAGATGGGAATTATTAATCTAGAGCCCAAGAGAACTTCTCTGTAAACACACATTTCCAAGAGCCCTCGGGAGAGCCCTACCCTGGCTGTGACCCAGGCAGGTGCCTGAGTCATCCTTTGAGCCTGGCTGCCTTCACAAAGCCACAGGCCCCTGGTGGCCAAATCAGGCCAGCACCACAGCCCAGGTGAACACACCCAAGTCAGCAGGCTCCAAGAAAGGCCACAGCACCTCTCAATTTCCCTTACTGACAGGCACAGGGACGCCGGTGCACAAAGTTTCTGGCTATTTCTATTTTGCTTTCAACTGAATGTGATTTCAGACCCTTTGTTTGAACGACTTGGCCTAATTATTAGGGAAGACTGTATACTTGAAGCGAGGGAACAGAGCAACTCTGCCCAAATCTGTGATGCAAACAAGGCAGAAAAGGCTCTCAGGTTCCACTTCCAGGTCAGAGGGCAGCCCAGTGAAGTACCTTGGTATAGAAAACATTTCTGGTAACAAGGAAGAAATGCTGGCTCTCCTCCCTTTAGCCTCCTTCTACACTACAAGCAGTTTGAGCAATGGGAGGAGCAGGATTTAAGAGGCATGAACCACAGTCAGGCTCACCCAGTGCTGCCTGCGACTCACCTCCCAACCTCTCAATTCTACTGCACAGTTGCCAAGGACCTGCCTTCGCTGACTAGAGCTGCTAAAAACTGGGCTTATTTTTAGAAGCTGATTATTAACTAAGTCGGTGGTGCTTTTGTGACGGTTTTCTATAGAAGAGACAAATGCTTTATGGAAAAAAAAAAAAAGAGCTCAAAACATCAACCCTGAATTCCCAGCTCTCTGGTTGCTCAGCTACCCCTGAGCAGGAGTCTACTGCCCCAAAGATAAGAACATTCCTATTCTGATCAGGCAGCATCCAGGTAACCCTTGGGTCTCAAAATCCAGACTGGGCACTACAAACACAGCTTTTTTCTAGAAAAGGTCAGCCCCCAGCCAAGTACATTAAGAAGACAGGGCTCAGTGCACACTGATGACAAATTTAAAGTGCATCCCAATAAACTATCTGAGCAATATATAAGTGGACAGGTGTGATAAAAGCAAACATGGGAAGATGTTAATGGCAGAATTGAGGTGGTGGGTTTAGAGTGTACATTACAGAATTCCTGCAACTTTCTGTGCTTCTGAAATTTTTTATAATAAAGTGTTGGGGGAAATGCCAGTGACAAAGGACATCATGCAAAGACTGTGATACAGAGAGGGCCAGAGAGCCTGGGAAGGTGGGACACAGCTAATGAACAGAGCTCTACACGACAGCGCCTTCAAATGGGGAAGCTGAGACAAAGCAGAAATCCCTAAAGAGAAGCGGCAGCCAGCCATTAGAAAACTGTCCTGGCAAAGCAGCCAGTGCAGGAGCTCTTCTGCAGGAGGCCTGTGCAGACACCAAGGAAGGGGTGAGAGTGCCCAGCCGAGAGCAGAAAGCTACCCTTGGGGCATGGCTGCTTAGACTTCAGGCCACAACTGCTGCTTTCCAGGGTCCCGTCCCTGGCAGCTCTGAGCCTCTCCACTAGGCACTGAGGCACTGAGGCAGTGTCAGCTGGGCCTAGGTATCCCCCAAAATAGGAGACCCTAACTCTTGAGCCCCAGGCCTGACCACACCCCACCCCACACCCCAATCCTGGCCTCCCTCATCTGTCAGTCAACACATATCACCTAATAGGTGTCCTACACTGTACTTGGCCCCAGAAAGCTTTTGGCCATTCCAGCCTGTGACAGCTAGTTTCCCAGGCTCAGCTTCCCCAGGTAATTACCTCCTCAGGTAATTCCAGAGACACCTTCTGTTTTGAGGACTTAAGTGAGAGGATCTCACTCTCCCCAGAGAGCCAAATCCATGGGGGAAAACAACTGACCTGCAGCTACTAGAAATGGGCTAAGAGAATAGGTACCAACCCCCATGACATCCTGTGTCACCTCCTCCTCTGGGAGGGAAAGGCTGAACATGGGCAAGGAGCACGAGGCTGTGATCAGTATCTCTGAATCCAGACTGAAGAAAGAAGGGTTCCAGTATGAAGAAGTCCCAATACAGGTCAATTTAAGACAAACAGAAAGACTGAACTCTATGTGGCAAGATGCCACATGTGGCCAATAGAAAAAGGTTCCAGCAGGATCTGGATAAGTGAAGAGGACACTGACTGTCAATGTTTAGGGCCTGATCCTAACCTCTGAAGCAAGCATCCTGGGGTTCAACCATGCTCAAACCTACAAACAACCTCCTGGCTTCTCTACTAAAGGAAGAATAACCTCCAGTTCTGTGCTACCCTTTAACAAAGGGGTTGGAGGTTACTCAGGAAAGAATTTCTGATGGTTCAGAAGACAGCAGGCATGAGGTGACACACATCTGCTGTTCAAAGAGCCCCCATGTCCACAGTGACACCCTCACTGAGACACTGTTCTCACTGTCCCCATCCCTGCAGCAGCTCACGTGGCACTTTGCACTGATGGGCACTAAAATACATGCTTGCGAAGCTGATTCCACAATGATTAACTAATGTAGTGAACTGACTGGCTATGAGGGCCAAAACCACAGAAACACAAAAGGTTAGCATGGGGAGGGGTCCCTAGAAAAGGACCAGTCCAAACATTTTTCTGCAGAGATGAGAAAATCCTGAGCGAGTACATGACTTACATGGCGTAATGGAGACAATATGAAATTTAAAGAAGATGGATCTGGTTAGTGACATCAGTTAGAGTTCAGCTCTGACACTTACTGGTTATAAAACAGACAATTACTAAACCTCTCAAGGCCTTACTCTCTCCATCTGCCAGCTTGGGGTAGGGGTGGGGATCAATCCATGTCATATGACAGGGCTGGTATGATTAATAAGTCACATAACATGAAAAGGACTCAACAAGTGGTAGAAGATGCGAAAGCTAGTTACCATTGTGCCAAGCCAGGCCACCACCCGTTTTCTGTTATTTTAGCAAGATGCAAGAGGGAAAAAGGTTGCTCAGGCCTTTCCTGTTTTACCACTGGTTGATCACCATCACCTCCACCCTCTCACCCTTCTAGTTTTCAAGAACCTCCACTGCCATATACACATTTTCATCCAACTCTTGGGCTAAAGCTGGAAAACCAACCATCAGCAGCACAAAGAGCACAAAAAACCCCAAGGATAAGCAGCAGCCCCTCCCTCTGCCCTTCCCCACCCCCCCAAGCTGAGAATAATCGGCACCCCAGGCCTGGGCTGAGACCAAGCCAGGAACGCTCACATGCTTCCCACCGAGCCTGCTTCACTCTCACGGAAGCAAGAAGGAATGAGAGCTTTCTCAGGGACCTTCAGGTGCACCAAAGACATATTTCAGAACCTACGTTCCATATGGTACTGCAAAGAGAGTCAGCACGTGCCTGAAACACAGTGTACGGCATTACTTAATCACTAAAATGAAGAGATGTTCAAGATAACAGGGGCATCGGCAAGGGACAAACATCCTGGGAGGGTTCTCCTAGAGTTTATTAAGACCAGGCCTTGGGGCTCTCATTACAGAGCTGACGGCAGGTCTGTCTAGAGTCAGGAAGGAAGCAGAGAAGTTGCTGAGGGACACAAGGCAGGGACCGAAAGCAGAGCAGCCATGAAGCAGGGACACTCAGTCATGCTGGCCTTGGTCTCTGAACTGTCAGCTCCAGCGAGGATAAAGCAAAAGCTACAGTCTGCAGAAGGTGTGCTCTGAGTCAGATAGTGTGGAAGAAGACTTACATCTTTTATTTTAATTAATCCTCACCACAACAAGGCAGGTATAATAATGCCCATTTTACAGATGAGGGAACTGAGAATCAGAAAGACAAAAAACTTCCAAGGACACGATGAGAAAGTGACATCTATAAACAAATAATTATTGAGCACCTGCTGTGGCTTTGGAGACACAATGGCAAACAAGACAAAGTGTCCACTTGGATTTTTGTGAAGAAAGGAGATATGAATCAACATCTCAGATTCCAAAGTGCCCTGTGCCATGCTGTCTATTGGGGACAGAAAAGATTAGCAACCTTGAAGCCAGCCTCTCTCTCTGAAATTCTGGCCATCAGGATGGAAAGAGATCCCCAATCCCTATCCAGTAGACTCAACAAAGTACACTGGGGTGAGACAGCCTTGGTTCAAATTTTACTAATTCTACTTACCAGTTGCATGACCTTGATTAAGTTATTCCATTTCTCTGAGCCTCAGTTTCCTCACTTGTAAAATACAGATAATGTACCCAACTCAATAAGGTATTTGTAGAAATATAATATTAATTTCCTTAGGGTAGTCCTTAATATGATATATACCCAATAAATATTAGTTCATCAGTATTAATTTTGCTAACCTGCTCTTATAGCAAGTTATAAACTCTCTGAAAGCAGGGACTCACCCATCTTCACTCACCTTCATAACCCCTGAACCGTGCACCTAGTACACAGCATGGCGTGTAATATATGGGGTTAAACTACATTAACCAGGCTTTACCCACCCACATCGAAATCTTGGGACCAAGAAAACTGAGATGTGCTCCAGGTACAACCTTGGGACACCTGGTTGCTGCCACCTCTCTGAAGAGACAGGGACTTAGGAGGAGGCCTGTCATTTTCTTGGTTAATCCAGCTTCTACAGTCAGGTGTCCTAAATGCCCCAGAGAGTGATCTGGATCCAGGGAGGAACAAGGAAGCAATCGGTCAGGTCACATCTCAGGGCAAAGATCAGACCAGAGCCCCCAGCTTCCCAGCCCGCTCTTCAGAGGCGGACACCGCCACATACCATGTGCTCCATGCAGATGCTGATCTCGCCGTCGCTGTAGAACGCCCCGTAGAAGCCCACAATGTAAGGGGAGTTGCACTCATGGAGAACCTGCAGCTCCCTTATGATCTGGTTCCGGATGGCAGGTTTGATCTCCAGGTGAATCAGCTGGGGAAAGAAAGGTGGAAGGAAGAGAAGCTTTAAACATACATGGATGGATGGAGGGGTGGGTGGATGGGTGGACAGATAGAAGTTTTCTTAAATGCTTAAGCTCTTAAAGGTAGGAAGAGAGGAAAACAGGCAAGTTTCAACATACAGGTTACTGGCCAACTAACACATACCAAGCAGGTGTTGGCACTGGAGGAGCTGCACCCAGGGGAGGGATAGCTGTGCCTCTGCTCCCAGGAGCCAAGACTGAGGAAGAGGGGCCCTTTTGTTCCCAAGAACAAAAGGACCTGGGAAGCTGAGAGATGAGGGGAAGTGGCCTTAGAGACTTGGTTGATACCCAAGAGATGTAGAACCAGAAGGGTATGAGGAACTGGGTCTGCAAATCTAAGCTGCCCAAGAGACTTCCCCTTGACCTTAGGAGCCTGATGTGGTTGAGATTTAGCCAAGGCCTCAGGTATCTCCTTATCTCCCCCACCCTCCATGTTGTCCCTTGTTTCAGCTGAGGAGACAGGTGAAAAAAACATGAAATGGTTACCGAATAAGGCTGAGCTTCTAAAAAGAGCTATGGGCAATGAGTGTCAGAAGACATGGAAGCAGCAGTTATCAGCATGGGCACTAGTGAAAGCTAAACAGGAGGTGGGCCTTGAAGATGCCAAGTGTTTGAAAAGATGGAAGGAACAGCATGAGCAAAATATGTGGACAGAAATGAACATGGTGTGCTGCAAAACATGGGAGAGTCTAAATTTGCTGTCCAGAAAGAGAAGGACCCAGGGTCAGCAGGGAGGGCAGTCCAGCTCAGTGAGGACTGCATGCCAGGGTGGGGAGCCAAGATGCCGTACTGCAGGGAGATGAAGGGGAAGCACGCAGAGACAACATGAAGGCAGTGTTGTGTGTGTCCACGGGGCTGGGCAAATGAAAGCAGCCCCCGCTCTTGATAAATGGCAAATGAGCATCTCAGCTTTCTTTCTAGAGCACCCAGAAGGCTAACAAAAGGTCCCTTGCTGTTATTTTCCAGTCTGGGGAGTCGGATAAATACACTAACACATCGTGAGTGTGTTTATCTGTACTCTAATAGATAACACGAATCCAAACTTCAAACAGCACAAAAGGGTACTGAATGAAAAGTCAATTTTCTTTCCACCCTTGTCTCCAGGCCCCCAGGTCTTCTAAGAGATAATCCAATTACCTGTCTACCAAGGCAAGCTTGATTCAGTCCTTTTTTCTAAAGTGCCCTCACCTTTCTGGCCATAACGAGTCCGGACGGCTTGTGGGAGACCTTGAACACCACACCTCCATTGCCGGCACCCAGCTCACTGATCTTCTCGAAGTCATCATCCTTCAGTTCCCCCACCTTCTGCTTCTGGGTCAGAAAGGCCTCGAGGCGCTTCCGCTGCTGTTCATCGAGCTCCAGCTCCTCCAGCTTCTTCTGCAAGGCCTCCAGGTTGGTCCTGTCCCAAAGCGAGGCGCACGGGTCAACACTGGCATCAGAGAAGCCCACCCAAAGGAGCGCTCCTGCTGTGGAGAGCTCCAGCGCTGGCGGAGGCGGCTGGGGGAGGGTCTCACCTGCTGTGGCTCCGCACCCTTCACTCCGCCACCCCACGCGGCTCACCACACACACTTCCCCTCTCAAGGCCTGGTCTCCTCGTTGGTAAAATAAGGGAATGAGTTCTCTCTCAATAGGCTCTGGGCCTACAAGAGGAACTACAGAATCTACTAAAATCCAGAGTGAGCCACCCTACTCTGCCTTAAAACCCCAGTTTCAAAAAGTCCCACAAGTGCTGGTTTTACAACACCATAAACGAAATACAACCTGTTTCCTAAAACCACCAAACTGAAACCAAATCACATCATCGAAACAGTCTCTAACCTGAATCACAACAGAAACCCTCCTCCATGTGATCAGATCAGGAACAAGGTGAATCAAAACAGAGCAAACGGGATATACCTAAAATTTATTTTTGCAACAAACATAAAAGTGCATATTCACCCACCTTAAAGTGGAGTAAAAATATCAACAGAATAATCTCAATAAAACTTTAAGAGTTGGATGACTTTCTCCAATTTTAATGCTCACCTAAATGTGACAGTATTTTTTTTTTACTGACTTAGACTTACTGAGTCTTTCCACAGCTCTTAACCAGTATTCACAGGGAGAGAAAAAAGAAAACCACTTCGTTTGCAGTCATATTTCATCAGTTTATCTTATATTTAAATACACACATTACTTAATTATAATACCAGCTCTAACTGTACAAATGACTTTGGGAACAAATCATCTCTTGGTAAGCACATAATTCAACCAGTGGGTGCCAGAGTGAGCGGGGATGGCAGAGAGCAGCCTGCTAGTGTGTTTTACATAAAGAACTGAAAAGTACTCATTACCTCCTGGGAGCTTGTGAAGAGAAGGGTAGTAAGGAGAGCTTCTACTGTGTTTCATTTTTGTCCTTAGTCTAAACAAACAACACGGTGACGAGACAGGCAGTCATTACGCATCAGAAAGTTGGTGACCCCCTCCCCTCAATATGCACACCATTTCTGAGCTTGAAGGGTAAGAGCAATCCCAAGCATCATCTTCCACTCTTCATTCACATTATGTTCCAAACCTTAAGAAGGAGATGGAGACCCTATGCCTCCCCAGTGTATGGGAGGATCCAATACTGCCTTACAAATTATACAGTACACGGGGCCAAAGAGGACATGGGGCTGACTTTCCCAATCTTCCTCACTGGGTAACTCTGCAGGGAAAGAAGGCTGGTGCCATGAACTGAAATATGTCCCCTAAAAATTCGTAAGTTGAAACCTTAACCCCAGTGTTTAGAGACAGGATTTTTAGGAGATAATTAAGGTTAAGTAAGGTCATATGGGTACAGTCCTACTCAGACAGAACTGATAGTCTTGTAAGAGAGGTGGCCTTCCCCCTACACACTCTAAGGAAAGGCTGTGTGAAGATACAGCAAGACAGCAGTGTCTACAAGCCAAAAAGAGACGTCTCACCAAAACTCAACCATGCTGGCAAGTCAGCCAGTCCTCATCTTGGACTTCAAGCCCCCAGAACTAGGAGAAAAGTCATTCCCGTTGTGTGAGCCGCCCAGTCTACGGTGTTTTGTGATGCAGCCCAAACAGACTAACAGCTGGTCAACATCCTCATCCTAAAAGGCGCAGCTCGGTCTCATGCCCCCCAGGCCCTCAGGTAGGGCGCCGGAGCCAAGGCTGATGGGAGAGCACAGCGCACACCTCTCTCCTTTCTCTACGGCCTCTCCACAAAGGAGCCCACTGATGCCAGCATTCAGAAACACACGCCAAATGCAGACAGACCTCACAGCTAAAACTTGCATGAGGTTACAGCTGCCTGGAGGGTAAGTAGTCGGGGAAATGCAGACTCAAAAAAGCTCTCTAAAACACACACACAGGGACGTTCCTCGTGGTGCAGTGGTTGACTCTCTGCGCCTTCAATACAGGGGACATAGGTTCAATCCCTGGCTGGGGAACTAAGATCCCATATGCCATACAGTGCGGCCAAAAAGAAAGAACATACACACCCCCACACTGAGCATATGCGAGGGAGAGAAGAAGGGGGGCTAGATGAAAAGATAACCACTCTCCTTAATAACACCATACTCTCTTTTAAGTGTTTTACACATATTAGTGCATTTAATCCACAGCCCTACAATTACAACAGAGAGTGAACTCAAGCAGAGACGGGGAAGTAACTCTTCCAAGGCTGCAATCTACTACGTGGCAGAGCCAGGGTTCAAACCTGGGCAGAGAGAGTCTAACCTTAATCATGATGCTGTATTACCTCTTCAAAAAGTTCCATACTTTCAAGGGTGGTGACGTGCAAACATGGGTGAGATCCTAGGGTGGCGCACTCAACACCCCAGGGCTCAATCAGACAAAACAAGATGGTATAAATGGCATCCCTCCATGACGAGTACTTTGCCTCAGATGCCATCCCGTGTCCCTTGTGTGTCAATCTGAACAGCTGCCTTGTGAAAAACACTGGCCACAAGAAACCACACCCATCTGGGGGCTGAGGAGGTGGATGGGGGGAAGGTGGGAGGGATGCTGACTCTGCAGGAATAAGGAATTCTCCCACTTCCAGGAGGAAAAGCCAAATCTGGGCTTTGTGCCACCTTCCCCCCGCCCTCCCTCCTGTGCGCCGCGGTCCTTCCGCCTACTCCATCAGCTAAGGAACCAGCCTCTGATCTGCGCCCTCAGAGGGTGGAGCCAAGGAGAGAGGACACATGGCGAGGACTACAAGCTACGGTGGCAAGACTTTCCTAACGACTCGGGGTGGATCAGTGTTACCAAATTAGTGAGTCATAGTAATCAGAAATCCTGGATTCTTATCCCGAATTGGGCATCAACTAGCTGGGTGACCATGAACAAGTCATTTAACTTGACAGTCTGTTTTCTCCCGTATAAAATAGGGTAAGAAGATGCTTACTTCACCAGGACAGGATCAAAACAGAAAACTAATGGGACAAAACACAAGCATTTTGACATATTTCTACACAAATGTTGGGGCAGGTGGAAGTGGGTTGGAGGACAAGGAGAAGCCACAGCATCAACAGCAGGATCCAAATACTACTGTCTTTTGCCCTTCCTGTAATTTAACTTCCTGTAATTTAAAAATTATTAAAAGCCTCTAAAAGTGTTTTAAAAACTGTTTCAGAGAATGAAAGACAAAAGATTTTATCTGAAGGTGAAAGGAAAATCCTGGCCACAAAACGACTTTCATGATTCATTAAAGAGAAATCAATCAATAAGATATCAGTATTCAGTATTGCTTCCTCTCATGTGGGGAGTAGATGATGTTCAACAGGGCTCATCTGTTCCCTCCCAAGGTGAAATGCTTCACACAAAGAAAATAGGAAGAGAGGGGCCCCTCACCTCCAGCCACACCACAAATCTCCAACACTCAGAGGATGAGAACAAGCCTCTCTCACAATCTTCGGTTTTAACTGAAATCAGCAATATCAGGACTAGGGATTAAGAAAAGAACTTGGAGCCTAGCACAATACATCTCTGACACACCCGGCCCTCTTCAGGGACCAGCTGTGATAGCTCCGACCCCCAGCATGCACACTGCCTACTGCAGAAAGGGAACAACACACTGCAACGTGAATTCTGCACCAGGGCTGTCAGTAAACATGAGTTCATCCAGATACAAGAGCACAGGTTTGAAATGGGAACACAGAAGAAAAACAAGGAACTTGGAGAAAAACATGGGTTGTCATTCATGTTCTGAAAACACCAGGAAGGCACAATGAAGTGGGTGGGGAAAGGACGGTCCTACAGAACATCTCCTTCCCTCTCAACTCACCCATCTGCTAAGCCTAATTACACTGCCACAGCTGTAATCTTTCATTCCTGGCTCAATGTTCACATCAAGAAGCAGTATACAATGCAGCAGAGGGAGAGACCTGAAAGACCACCTTATCCAGCCTATTTCACAAGTGAGGAAATGGAGGTCCAAAGAGGACAAAATCCCACAGCTTATGCGTGGCAGGTCTCCCAACTCCTGAAACAGAGTTCCTGCCAAGGCCCCACACTGCCACCTTCAACTCTGACGGTCACTGCAATGGGAGGCTGACCTGAAAGGTGGAGGGAGTCGATGTCCAGACCAAGGAGTGGGGTCATTAGACTGACACACACCAAACAGAAATGGGCCACAAACGCATGTCAAACACCAGCCAGTTGTCTGTCACCAACCTGAGCACGGCGGTGGCAGGTGGCAGGCCCCACCTCCACCAGGAGGAAGCACAGAGGGAAGAGAGGGGGTGACCCCCACTCCCTGTGCTGGAAGGAGAGGCGGAGTCCCAGTGCAGGTGGGTGTCCTCACCAGAGAGCCCAAGGAGCTGTGAACCTCTCCCTCTCCTGTGGGATTTGGCCAGTAGGGCAGGAGAGAAAGGGAAAGAAAGGCAGAAAGGGAACTGCCCCCAGAGACTAAGGATGCGCCCCTGGCCTACATCCTGTGCACTCGCCACCCGAGAGATCTTGGGAGTTGCCTCCTTTTCTGGTACCCTTGGCTTCCACATCCCCCCCCCCAAAAAAAGGATATGGGGAGTAGGTTGGGGAGAGTGGTCTGCATGTCTCAAAGGAAGTCTGCCAACATGACAGCCAGCTGAGGAGCTGCAGAATGAGGCTGAGGAGCTTCCACCGGGGAGGTGAGGGCAAAGGGGACATGTGAGGGGAAAAGGGTAGAACTGGCATCAGGGGTCCCTACAGAGTCAAACCACGGACAGCAGGAGATGCAAGGGCTTACAGAGGTAAGAAGAGAGAAAAGGGGGCCTGACCGAGGAAGGCCAAAGGGCCAAACGCACAGCTTACCAACCTCCAGACTCCAACCTGGACTGACCCGTCTGTGTTAGTGTGGCCCACCCGTGTGCGCCAGCCACAGCCAGCCCCAGACAACACGGTGGAGAGAAGCCTATGGCCTCCCACC